ACACAAAGGAAAAAACAAGATCCTCTGATACAACACAACATGCACCAATCAACTCACACTTGACGGAGAAGCTTTGAAAGATGTGAAAACCTTTACATATCTGAGCGGCATCGTTGATGAACACGGTGGATCTGATGCAGATGTGAAGGCGTGGATCAGCAAAGCAAGAACAGCATATTTACAATTGAAGAACATCTGCAACTCAAAACAATTGTCTTCAAGCCAACACCGAGGTCAGAATTTCCAATGCAAATATCAAGACAGTTCTATTGTACGGGGCCGAAACCTGAAGAACTACGAAATCCATCATCCACAAGATACAAGTGTTTATTAACAGTTGTCTAGATAGAATACTTCGGATCAGTTGGCCAGACACTATTAGCAACAATCAACTATGGGAAAGAACAAACCAGATCCCAGTGGAGAAAAAAATCAAGAAGAAGCACTGGAAGTGGATAGGACACACATTGATGAAAGCACACAACTGCGTCACAAAACAAGCCCTCACATGGAACCTCAAGGTCAAAGGAAAGGAAGAAGATCAAAGAACACATTACACCAAGAAGTGGTGACAGATATGAGAAGAATGAACAGGAACTAGGTAGAACTAGAAAGAAAGGCCCAAAACAGAGTGAGTTGGTGAATGCTGGTCTATGGCCTTTGCTCCATTGGAGGTAACAGGAGTAAGTGAATGAATGAAGTATGATACTTCTTAGCATTGAGCATTCGTGACCCTAACAGGTACTGAACCTAATAATTTTAAATCCAATATTATGCAGTTAAACGTTAAACTAACAACATATTTCTGACTTGAATCAGTCGCCTATATTATTACAATCATCATTAAATATCATAATAGCCAATTTTAGAAGTCTTAAGTGTACACGGTTAAGGAGTACTATGTTGTGACGTATAAACTATAATATACTCCATGATTTTCAGTACCTATCTTAACTGAAATCAATCCATAGAGAATATCGCCTACACATCTTTATGTCAATACAAATTTCTTGATTCTGACTGCTTCGATTGTATACTGTTATATTTACACTTTTATATAATATATTATCAGTCACAATGAACATTCAGTTGGATTAACTATGTTTATGCACAAAACTATCTCTATGTTACATTACTCATAAACAATTACATCATAGATTCAACTCCATTATGTAACAATGATGTATATTCATAACTGACCATACTCAATATCAGCATAATTACTGTTGGGATATTCGGAAAAATATACCAATAATTATCATGTTAAGTCTAGTGGTGTCCTTGGACTTTAAATGGACATTCCCTGTTTGTTAAATATTGTACAAATGTTGATTTCTATTTTATGGTACGATGTGGTCTGTTTGGCTGGTATATAAACAGAATATGTTTGAAATATAACGATTCATATCTCAGAGTCTGAGGTTGGTGTTCTGGACTCAACTGGCTGGGCTAGACAGCGGAGCAGGGCCAGTCGGGACTCTAGGTCGTCCTTGCGTGTTTTGCGTGTCATTGATCCGATCGATAATACGCTTCACTCTAATCTGCAGTCACAAGACACAACAATTACTCATATTGTCCTCCAAAATATTTTTAAATACTCATATGAACAACCTTTTCTTGATAAAGTTTTGTTCTCTGATCTAAATGCTTCTCTATCATTTCATGACCTACCTTCTTATCAAAAACACAATACACCCTAAAGATGGAAAGACAAAAGAAAGAAAAAGAAAAGAAAAACGATGGTGAATTTGATATTGTTTATGATTAGACTTTAATTTATGATAATCTTACCAATATCTTATTATTTTCTATATGATAACATTAAGTAAATTTGATAATCCACTGTGTTTTTTTTCCTTTTTTCTTTTTCGTCTTTTTTCTTGCAATAAGCATCAACTGTTTTTCTTTCTTTTTTCTTTTTTTCTTTTCTTTTCGTCAATCATATAAATAAAAATAAAATAAGCGATCAAGTCGATATTGTTTTTGTTATGTAGATATCCTTTAAGCAATATAACAACTATCATATACATATCTTATCAAATAAATAACCTGAAATTGGGTATACAAATTGTATATATATATATATATATATAGATTCTGTGTTTCATATAATGGTAGAGTAATGTCCTTAGATGACCTTTATTCATTGAAGTTTAAAAACAGGAAAGAAAATATAGAAGAAAAAGAAGAACAAGAAGAAACAGAGTTTGATATTGATCTATTGTAAACATTACAAAACAAAAAAAACAAATGACAAATATGATTCGTAGTATAAGAGTTGTGGAGATTATTAAGTTTTCTATTGAGATCACGAACCAATTGATGTTAGACCACCTTTGGAAACCTGAAAGCACTGGATGGCCGTTTCGTCCTATTGTACGACTCCTCAGCAGTGCGCATCCAAGATCCCGCTCGCTGATTGGTTGATGTTAGACACTATCACCATTGCATGCCGTCTCAGTGGTCCAGTAGGTTAAGCGTTCACGCGCGAGACCGAAGGCACTGGGTTCGAATCCCGCGGGGTGCGGGATCGTGGATGCGCACTGCTGAGGAGTCCCATAATAGGACGAAACGGCCGTCCAGTGCTTCCAGGTTTTCAATTGTGGTGGTCTAACATCAATCGGTTCATGATCTCAATCAAAAAATATAATTTGTTTAAGAAAATATAAAAAAAGAAGAACAAAAAGAAACAGAGTTTGATATTGATCAATTGTGAAAATCACAAAACAAAAAACAAATGACAAATATGATTTGATTACAAAAGTTGAAATCTATTTCATTATGAACAATAAAGGAAAGTAGGTACAAACTGGGAAATTTCTATAGTTGAGATCATGAGTCAATTGAAACTAGACCAATATGGAAAACCTGGAAGCATTGGACGGCCAACTTGTCCTAGTATGGGAATTCTCAGCAATGAGCATCCACGATCTCACCTTGCAAGATTCGAACCCAGGATATATCGGTTTTTGCGCGTGAACGCTTAACCTTTAAACCATTGAACCGACATTCAATGGTGTTAATGTCTAACTTCAACTAATTCACGAAATTGAACAATACATCCACCATTGTCTTCAGTGAGTTACTATCTCATAAATGACCTGAAAAAATTGAATGGCCTTTTTGTCCAAGCATGAGACTTCTCCAAATGTGAATCCATTAATTTTCAGGTGAAACTATGAATACAACCTTGGTTTATGATTTTCAACTATAAATAAGTATGTATATACGAAATATATCTTTGATAATCAAGTAATATCATTCAGAACTACCTTCATACTTGAAATTGTCACTATTACATAATGTCCAGCATTTTGAAATCTGAATGAATTATGTAAAAATTTATTTCATGTCAATATACTTGATGACTGTTATTTATTTACCCAAAACGCCCTGGTACGGCAGAGGGTGAGGAAAGTCAACTCTCCATCTCGAAATGCTCTCACATGGCCACATGTATACATTCATTGTCAGGGAAGTTCTACTCACTGCCTTGTCGCACTACGGGTGTTGTCCAGAAAATTGAGAGGACGAAAACCGAATGTCCGACACTTTAATCGGGTTAGTGGATATGAAGGATCCACCTAGGAGAATTGGAAAATCCTCATTTCAAACCAATGGTATACACGGGCTCCAGGATGCTAAGGAAACAAATGGTGTATGAACATATTATTGGTCACCAGCTAACATGGGACTGCATCTCCGAACGATGCTTCACTGCAATGTGGATCAGACCCTTGAGTTGAAGGCTCCGGGTATGGCCCACTAAGAAAACTACCTGCTTTGGTTTGGGAACCCGGGCAGTATCACAGACAACACACAAATCAAGTGACTTGTGTGGCGCATGTGTATTTGGCACCCCTTTGTACCAATATTTATGTTTCCAAATAAATAATAAATAAATAAAAACTAAATCAGTAACATTGTTTATTAAGTTTCTATCATGAGATTCCTAAACAAAGTAACTAGTTAAAATACTTACTTACTTACTTACGCCTGTTATTCTTAATGGAGCATAGGCCACCGACCAGCATTCTCCAGCCCACTCTGTCATGGGCCTTCTTTTCTAGTTCCATCCAATTCTTGTTCATTTTACTCATGTCTATCTCCATTTTCCGGCGTAATGTGTTGTAACCAGAAAAATAACTCATTAGAAAATCATGACAGAATAATATTAAATATGCATATGATTTATGTACAAAATCAGTTCGTTGACTAAATAATTGCAGCACATAACATTTCATCATTGAACTCAACATTCAAAACTCTTCACTTACTATGATTTGGACAGATAAGATAGTATCCAATGCTTTCGTACAGAAAAAACTTATAATTCAAAGCCAACTTCACGCACACACCAGTAGGTACATGATCATGTTCCGAAACCTCCAAATAGTAAGTTTTTTTTTAAAGAACTGAATCACTTATCTAATTAATAAGATTTTAGAAACACCATATTATCTTTATAAAAAAATATCCATTTTAAAAACGTTTCGCATTTTTGTTTTAGCTTATTATCTCTGGTTTGGTTGGAACGTGTATTTGTTTTCAGCATAGAATTCCTTCAATATCACCACAACTAATGAATATTATTCAAGTAAGTTTTATGAATATTTTCCATAGTATTTTTTTTCATTGATAATTTAAGATTATATTACTGTCTTAGCAGCCATAGGTGTTAAGATCTAGCTTCAATCAATCAATGATGCTAGCTCAGTTGTATAGAGGTAAAGAGTTTACACGAAACTGAAAGTCTTCAATTCGAGTCCCGTATGACGGACGGCCGTTTCGTCCTAGATGGAACTCCTCAGCAGTGCGTATTTACGATACCACCCCACGAGATTTGAACCCAGGACCTTTGATACTTCCAGGTTTTTCATGGTGGTTTAGCTTTCATTGAATCATGAACTCGACTACTACAATCACCAAAAAAAAACCCCTTCTGAGAAATAACAGAATTGAAACCAGTTCAGTTAATTCATGCTTAAATTCATTATAAGATGATTGTAAATTTGTTTAGATCACAAACACTTATTGAAACTAAACATTTTAACGTAAGTTGAACTTCACAAATTATGTACAGAATGAAACATTCCCTAAGTCTTTTCAGTACTTCACTTTGAAAGGTTCACCTGAAATGTTTAGTTTAAAAAAACGAACTGTCGGTTCACCTAACAACGAAAACAGAGAGCGCGTAACAACATAGCGATAATTACTAAATTATGTCAATCAGGTCTACCATAAAGCATGTGTCATATAACACAGTGTTATACTGTTCATGTTAGATATTATTCAAAAGAGTTAAGGTTACTAGGGACAGTGTTAACGTAAAGTGACAGCATGTAGGTGGTTTTACTTAAGGAATTCACTAATAAAAATAGCTAAACACTTAAAGTTCCTGTAATATCACTTGTAGAATGAGATATACTTACAGGTGCTAGGACATTTAATGCATTTTCAAAGGAGCAGTGGGTGAGATTACAATTTATGGACAACCTTTGAACGGTGCTCAAGCGACCTTCAAACTGACTACCGAATAACTAGGACTAAATAAAGGTTATAAACCAGTATGAAGAATTTGAATGATGATTTACAGTTGATGATTAAGGTTAAATATTAGATTTGAAGTTTTCATCACGAACTGACATCAGCTACAATGCCAAGAGTGAAATTGTTGCCAAAATTCCAAACTTGTTATCTTTTACGTGATTGGTTCATCCATAAATAAAACATCAGTGCAGCGAACAAATAATGAGAGTAATTTTATCGTATTTATAGAAAAGCAAGATTCTTCGATAGAACACAGAATGCGCCAATCCAGTCACAATTGACGGAGAAGATTTGAAAGATGTAAAAACCTTACATATCTGGACAACATCATTAATGAACGTGATGGATCTGATGCAGATGTGAAGGCGCGGATTGGCAAAGCAAGAGAAGCATATTTACAACTGAAGAAAATCTGGAAATCAAAACAACTGTCAACCAACACCAAGATCAGGATTTTCAATACAAATGTCAAGACAGTTCTACTGTATGGGGCAGAAACCTGGAGAACTACAAAAGCCATCATCCAGAAAATACAGGTGTTTATTAACAGTTGTCCACACAAAATACTTCGAATCCGTGGGCCGGACACTATCAGCAACAACCAACTGTGGGAGAGAACAAACCAGATCCCAGTAAAGGAAGAAATCAAGAAGAGGCGATTGAAATGGATAGGATACACATTGATGAAAGCAACCAACTGTGTCACAAGACAAGGCCTCACATGGAATCCTCAAGGCCAAAGGAAAAGAGGAAGACAAAAAACACATTACACCGGGAAATAGAGATAGACATGAGTAAAATGAACAAGAATTGGATGAAACTAGAAAAGAAGGCGGAGGACAGAGTGGGTTAGAGAATGCTGGTCGGCGGCCTATGCTGCATTAGGAGTAACAGGCGTAAGTAAGTAAATAAGTAATAGATTATTCCAGAGTCTAAAAAAATTCACACATAAATTAATTCATATAAAGAAATAATTTAGAATGAGTTTATTACACTAATGACAAAGAATTACAGATGTTATTAGTGAATAGTACCTGTAGATTGAATTACATGGTTCAATATAAAGAAGATTTTAGTTCAAGTCTCCTCTTCCAAAAAAAAAAAGGATCGAGTCAAATAAAGAGTTCATTTTAACTATTTAATATCGATTACTGATTAAGAAATTAAACCAACCAAGTAAAAGGTTTTAGATTCGAGTTCACTTATAAAAAGTTGATTAGTTAACCATATCATCAAGTGACAATCATAATAGTTTCAACATGATCAAATTTCTTCTATTAAATGTTTTAATAAATTATTTTATTTTATTGAATTTTATCATTTTAGATTATATCCGGTTTATTATCATTAAGTTGTTTTATAATATGTCTTACAACAAGTATATATACTGGAAAAAAAGGTAGTTTAATTGCATCTTATGATAATACATGTAAAATAATATCAATAGAACAATTATTAGAACAAAGACAACAACAACAACAACAACACCACACCCAACAACAACAACAATATCACCACCACCCCCAACAACAACAAATTACATTCAATACAAAAATAATCAATAATTCAATTAGTAATAATAAACCATTTTTAAAACCATGTTGTATAGAACTCAATAAAAATATCTGTGAATGTTATATTAATTATAATAAACGTATAGAATATTATCATTATATATCATGTCATTTATTATTTTCCTCAATTAAAGATTATATAATATTACAATCAGCATTAATGTGTATTGGTTCTGGGGTATCATTATGGTTATGGTTATTATTTATAGAAAATAAATTAAAATATTATATGAATAAAAAATATACAAGAATAAGTTTTTCATCAACACATAGTTCAATCCCTGAAATATTCATTGAACAATATGATGAAAAAACAAGTAGTATAGATATAAATGAAATAGAATGAATAATCGATTTTAGATTATTTAGAATAATATAGATGATCTACTGTCTATGAATCTGTAAACAATATGAAATACTATTGAATTGTATATAATGAACATAATTAATGATTTGGTGTGCTGTTAAGAAATTGGAGGTTTGTGTATGATAAAGAAGATATTTTTAATTGCTCCACCATCTCCTCCTCCTCCTCCTCCTCCTTCTCCCCGTCCTCGTCCTCGTCCTCCCCTGGCCAATTTCAAAGCCAATTCATCAATAGTAATTTTGACTATTAAATGATCTATTTTCTATTCATTATTATCTTTCATGAGAATAAAGTAAAATAATCAATAATCAATAAATGTGTAGTAGATTATAGATCACAAATTTCAGGAACTTGTTATGAATTCAAATGATCTGTACTTTCACTTATTTATTTATCTTTAAAATTTGAAATCTGTCAAGATTCTGATTATTTCGGTAATCTGTAAACAATATGAAATACTATTCAATTGTACATAATTAACATAAGAAATGAGTCGATATTACAAGAGGAAATCGCTTTGCGTATAAAAAAAAAACAAATCTCCAACTGCTCCTCCTCCTCCTCCTCCTTCCATGGCTAATTTCAAAGCCAATTAATCAATAATAATCTTAATTATTGAATGATCTATTTTGTATTTATTATAATCTTTAATGATAATAAAGTAAATTAATCAATAATCAATAATTGTGTCCATTTCTATTTGATCAAATCAATAAAATTTTATTATAAATGTTTACAATGGAAACAAACAAAACTGTGTTGGTTAAACAGTTTTCCATTTCATTATTGAAACAAACAATGTTCTCTCTATATATATATGTGTGTGTGTGAAGACATGTAACTAACTGTAAATTTTATAATTATATATATTATGTAATTGATTATTGAATCTTTATTGATTATTGTATTATTGAATTACTATCGATTATATTTCTTGTTGTATGTTTAACTTTTGCAAATATACCTCATAATAATAATAATAATAGTAATAATAATAATAATAGTTATTATTATAGAAAATTTCTTTGTCAAAATATCCTAACTCATTACAATATGGTAGTTTCATCAGATAATTGAAATCAACTAATGGAGTAAATCCCTCAGTTAAATAAATGGGAGGGATCTTGGATGCGCAGTGCTGAGGAGTTTCATACTGGGACGAAACGGTCTTTCAATGCTTCTAAGTTTTCAATGGTGGTCTAGCTTCAATTGACTGATGAATTCAATAATTAAACTGCTATAATATCCATAATACCCCTCTCTGAAATTAAACATTTAACCACAGGTATTGACATAAATGACAAATAATTTTTTTAATCAAAATAGTATCATTACTCTATCATTATCAATTTACGTTGATTTCTTCCCTTTTAAGACTTACCGTTAATCACTACAACAAAATGGAGGATTATCTTGGAGAGAGGTTTAAAGAAGCGACCACTCGACATAGATGTAGAACTGAACAATCTTTTGGAAATAAAGGATGTAACAACAAGGTGTAATATTATATAAGTTAGTTTCCTCGCCCCCACCTTTGGATCTAAATTGAAAATAAACAATATATGACGGTAAAACAATAAAAATTATTGTGTAAATTCCCATTTTGCCATTTGGTAAATAAAGAAGGAACGAATTGAGCGAAGAAATTTCTTTTCAATTAGTTTTTCATCATGGCTCTACACTAATATATATACGTTTTACAATAATAATATAATACTCATCGAGTGGATACGTTACGTAATAATTACATAATGACATTTAAATTAACATTAATTAATTGGAAGAAAGAGGATTATTAATATTCAAAGTGATCAAGAAGTTGCTAAGTTGCGTAATGTAAGAGACAAAGAAGGAACAGAATTTTAACGGATGGTCAATAGGATAGTAGTTACATAAGAATCAAGAGATGAATGTTGAGAAGTTATTAAGTTCAAAAGCAACAGAAATAAAATTACAAAAGTTTAAAAAATTACAAGTTTTAAAAAATTAAAAATGGAAGAAGTATGAAAAATAGTTCTTTTGAAGGAAATCTTAAACTGATGGCCAGGGCAGGGAAAGTGGTTGTACGAATCTCTTTTGTATGCAAAGGTCAGGTTTGTGAACATGGATTGCGATGGCTTCCGCAATGTGCAAGAGGCGCACTCGTAAACCATGTGGCAAATTAGATGGGATATTGTAGATAACCTTAAAAGCTTTATTCAATTCGACTTGATGACCTGTGTCAACCAAGTGAGAGAGAATAGAACTTTTAATCACTTTTACCTGTCCTTTGTTTAACCACGACGGATGATGTTCAGTAATGCGATGACGGACTTGCCGAATTGTACGCCCAATATAACTGGCTCCACAGGAGCAGTTGAAACGATAGATACACATAGATTTGGCGAATTCAGGCAGTCTGTCTTTGTTGGCTGTTCTTATCTTAGGATAGTTGTAGAAGATTGCATTTAATCTGGCAGCATTAAATGTTTTTTGTACGGCTCTTCTTAGTTTCTGAGTTAAGGTTTCTTCAATGGTGTCATTTATGAATTGTAGTTTTATGAATAGTACCTTCTTATGGACGGTGGGTATCTTTGTCCTTGTTTTCTTCTCCATCATATGTTTGTCGATGAATTTCATGGGATACCCATTCATGCTAAGTAGGTTCCGAATATTATTCAATTCTTCTTCGATGGTGTCTTCAGAGCAAATCATTCTAGCCCGATGTGTCAAGATTTTTATCAAGTTCCTTTTGTATCTGATTGGAACTGCACTGTAGAAATGAGTGTATTGTCCTGCTGAAGATTTTCTGTGTACCCCTCTTTTTAAAGTTCCGTCTGCTCTTCTTTTTAGCTGGACATCTAGAAATGATATGCTGTCGTTCTGTTCATCTTCTGAATATTAATAATCCTCTTTCTTCCAATTAATTAATGTTAATTTAAATGTCATTATGTAATTATTACGTAACGTATCCACTCGATGAGTATTATATTATTATTGTAAAACGTATATATATTAGTGTAGAGCCATGATGAAAAACTAATTGAAAAGAAATTTCTTCGCTCAATTCGTTCCTTCTTTATTTAAAAAAATTATTGATGTGTAATCTGTAGTAGGTCACAGGTCTTCCAGAACAATACTCAGGTTTCGAAAGCTTGTAGTGAACTATCATAAGTAAATTCGAATCGTCTCTCCTTCCTTTTACTTTGTATCTGAAATCTGTTAAGATTCTGGTTACTTCGTAAGCATCTATCCATTCTTTCGGGAGCCAAGTAAGGAATAAAACTGTTGCGCACTCTATTTTCACTCTACTATTTCCTTCAGTTCTTTCCGAGTAATTGTATAGCCAGTACAGCTTTATGACCGCCTCTAATTCTAATAAGAAATCCTGATGTATTGCTGATGTTTATGAGCCATTCCGGAGTTTCATGTCTGTTTCTATTCAGTACATTCACAATCAGACACAATTGCAACATAAACATCACAAGAATCCCTCGATATGCGATGAGGATATCTTATCCATTCAACATTCATTGGAAACAACTTAGAAACTTCAAAAAAGTGACAAATTGTGCATCACATTATCAATAATTAAAAATAAAGAACATTGAAGCGAACAATCGTTTTTAATAACTTCACAATTAGAAGTTCATAATTATTATATCACAAAAGCCTAATTAGGTCTTGCTAATAAACTAAATAATGTTATTAATTACTTGAATCTTCCCATTGATATTCAGGACTACAATTGATCAATCTCTTATCATCACATTGCAAAAGCAAGTGGCTATCTGAACTCAGTTGCTAAGTAAATAACACGATGGGGTTCAAAACGAGCGGTAAAGGGTTCGAGTTACAGAGTAAACATTAAATCTAAGATGCAGGTACATCCAGCTGACGAGTCCAAAATAGAATGAAACACGTGTTCTGAATTTCGCTGCTAGCCACTATTCATCTTTGCTTATAAACAATGTTAACTTTGTATCTTATATGGTTTAAATACTACAAAAAATGTATCATCTGTAGGTAAGAAAATTTATTTACAAGAGGTTAGGAGGATTCGTAGTAAGCTATCAAGTTATAATTAACGTAATAACAAAATAAAACATGGATTAACTACATAGTAAGAAAACTTTAGTCAATAGAGATAATAATAATAATGCCATGTGAATACAATATGTGAAAAAAAAAGAGGTTTTATCGAAGTAATTATAAACAGAAATTTGTGTGAATTGGGAATGATTAATATGTAAGTTAAGAATGGGATACAGTAGAGAGAGACATAAAAAAAAATCAGTGGGAGGTAACAGGTTTACAATGCCTAGTTTAGATAACATGGTAGACCAAAAGAGAACCTAAGAGTTGAACATACCTGTTTAGGATAAATCGGTTAGGTCTCCTGAATTTGATTAGATAATTATTTACTCTATTACTAAATCTAACATGTTTTTAGAGGTTTCCAACGGTAAAATTTTACCGATAAACTTATGAACAATGTCGTTTTCTGTGCATAAACAAGCCTTGAAGACAAGTTTTTATACTTTACGTTTTCTACATCATTTGAAGTTCAGCAGTCGGAGAATTTTGGGGTCTAGGATGCAGCTACAAAGTCGTTGTTAAGCGTTGAAGTAACAGACTTATCAGGGTCTATTTTGATAAGTCTTGTTAATTTGAACGCTTTATTCGGTTCCTAAGCTATTCTGGTAACCCGCAAGCTAGAACTACGCAGCGACCTGAACTCGAGAGGAAAGGTGCAAAATAAGCGAAAAACACTTTATTCCAAAGGTTCGTTTTTGTACAGAAAAACACGGGTATTTATCGATGTTAACATTTGTTAAATCAACATCATATTTTGGCCAATCCGCTAAAAGACATATTATGCTACTGACCAATAGTAGCACGCCACGTTGATATTCTAGAAAGCACCATCATGCTTTGATTGGCGAGGACTCTTCGGCTCCTTTAGAGCCTCTGGAGGCTCTGTTGTAGTTCTCGGAAAG